TTTATGCAAATATAATATATTTTTAAATTTAAACACATTTTGTACACAAAATACGTTTTCTAATAGTTTAGGTGAATATATCTTGATGTCATTTATGGCACCCCACACAAACACCTGTCCGTCCGGTTTATTAAAAAGAAAATTTTTCAAATTATAATACTGTTTTATAATATTATTTGAGCATAATAGTATTTAAATTAAAAATGTAGATGAACTCGCACAATCTACTTACCACTTAAATCGCAAATCTTGATTGCATACAGCTCCATTTTATGAACATCTCTAACTAATTTAACAGTGCCAAAACCACCTCTACCAAGGTCATTTAATACTTCAAACGTTTGATCAAATTGCTTAAAACCTTGATCACGTTCCATATCTAAATATACATAATTAAAATTATTTTAAAAACATTAATTTAACCACTATTTTCACCATGATATTTACCATCACGCTCCATTGATTCTGTTTGATTGTCACTAGTTAGTTCAACAGTAGATACAGTCATTTGTAAAAATTTTGCATAAAAATCATCAAGATCATCAAACTTGGTTAACTGTAAAACTTCATTTGCGTCTAAAATTTGATAAATACTTTCGCCACACATTCCCGTAATTATAGACAAATCCCTTTGATATGTGAATATTTGTTTCAATTCACTAAACAGTAAATTAATAACAGTTTTCACGCCATTCGCGTCGAAATCGTATGAACACAGCGTGCCATCAGTTTTATGCAAATATAATATATTTTTAAATTTAAACACATTTTGTACACAAAATACGTTTTCTAATAGTTTAGGTGAATATATCTTGATGTCATTTATGGCACCCCACACAAACACCTGTCCGTCCGGTGTGACCGCACTCGATATTAACTCATAGCAAATAATGTTTAAGATTTTATATCCTATGGGAAACTCAATGTTAATTGGCGTGGATATTGTATCCATATCCCGGCTCCCACACCCTATTTGCCCGCATTTGTTACTGCCCCAGCCATACACTTGTCCATTAGTGGTTAACACTAGTGTATGATTTTCACCGCAACATATTTGTTCAAAAATGGTCTCGATGGATTCATTTATAGTAATTAAACGTGGTTTAAAATATATATCACTTTGCTCTAAATCTCCCCATTGGTTGCCAGCCAACCAGAATATTCTATAAATAATATTTTTATACAATAAATATAGTTAATATGTAAAATAAATTATCATATACTTAATATATTATACTCTATATAATTTTTCATATACCGTATAAATTATATTACCTTCATTGAAAATATAATTTGATTTAATTTATAATATATTATATTATTTATAAAATTATTTATTAGTATTAGCCCTGGTCCGATATAACAAAATAAGCATTTAACATAGACTTCAGTAATATGTATTAATACATCCTTAAAATATTTGAGCTAAATAAAATCTAACCTAACCACAATTTTAAAAATAATAAAATATCAATTTACTTTTTATTATCTTTATCTAATGCCACCACAAAATCTAATCCATTGACAAATTGACGTATATTTTGACGGCATAACTCCGGTATGAGTACCGGTGCTTCAATGGGTGCATTGTGTCCCAACCCGAGCTGACCCCACCTATTGCTGCCCAACGCGTACACCGAGTCGTCGGACGTCACAAATAGTATGTTATTTCCGCGGATGTCATCGAAAATGTAAAATAATTTTATTTCTCGCCTCAAATAATTGTCAATTTTACGGCAAATATTGTATTTATGCAGTAGCAAGCTCATTATCATCAGTAGTATATTCACGTAAATAAATGATAATATATATATAGATTTTTATGAGCTAGTTAGTTAAATTATTATACTAGACAAATTATTGTATAAGCACAATTTAAAACTTATAAGACATGTTATAAGGTATTTAATAACTCTATGCATAATGTAATTTACTTAGACAATTATTAAATGTTGTTTGTGTTTTATTTATAATATTAAATGTCTATGGTGATATTATATCTGATAAGATTGTTGCTACACTAATTCCTGATTTATAATTTATAAATATTATGATAAAATTATATAAACTATTATCTATGCAACTTGAGATTATGTATCAAAGTCATTTTTGTGGACACTTTATTGAAATAGCATAAAATTATATTAGATAGGTCTAGCATTTATTAATAGTATTAGTTTGGTTGCTAATATCTAGATCAGCCAGTTCCATGTATTACAAATTATTACAAATAGTAATAACTATAGGCTATAAGTTATAGCATTACTAAATGCCAATGCTACCTAATTTTGAAACTCAATGATCTAGATTAATTGTAGCGATTATTATATTTATAATAGAGTTTATGTGTAAAATATTTTATTGTTTTCATTTAAGTAAACATTTTTACGGCTACATTACAAAAATAAAATTTTAAATCATTTCAATAAAATGTGAAATAATATTATTCGCAAATAAGTCTCATAATACATTAATTATTAAATAAAATATTTTATATTACAAATTATACCGGTAATTGTTTTCATTAATTACACAATTAAATGAAAACTAATTAAATGATCTCATAAAGAATAATTATAATAATTTTATTTTTTGTTTATTAAATAAATGGTAGTAATGTCATTATGCAAATAACAAAATTGCAAAATACTATAGTAAGTACATTTTCAAAATAACGGGTGTCCCATCGTATCAGTACTAATTTAAATTGAAATTTAAAATATTTACAATGATATTATGGTAACAAAATCTATACCAAAATGTTGAAAATTTATTAATATTCTACGTGAGATTTATAAAATTTCCACAAAATTATTACCCTGGCCATAATTTTGCATAACCGCATGCATGCCTGTTTTTACAAAAAAATGGTTTGTTTTTTAGATCACTATAAATAAGTATAAGCGGGCTTTTAATTATATGACAAAACGTTATGCAAATCCTATTCAAAATTTTGGTCAATATTTAAGTTTTAAAAAAAATAATTAAATTTCGCAATAATTTGTTTAATTGTTTAATAATTTATTGAATAACGAATTTTGTGACGACTAGTATTGTCATTGAATGTTGGCATCAATTGAATCAATGCTTGTAATCATAGCGATTTTGTATCCACGAAAAACAAACATACATGCTGTTAAAGTAAAATATGACCAGGGTAGATATTTTATTTATATTTTGTGAATCATACATAAAATCTTAATAATTTACCTACATTTTGGTGTATTTTTATTAGAATAATATGATTATAAACATTTTTATTTTTATTTTATATAATCCTGATTCGATGGGACAGACTTTAGTAAACGATAATTGTTATTTCGAAATTTTATATCAATACATTAATAATATGAGCATCATTAATTTTGAATAACATGTTTTTCAAGTATCACAAAATGTAAATGTCTTTCTACTGGTATATTAAGTTCGAAGTAATTTTGTATAATATGAAAATATTAATTAAATTGTTTAATAAATTTGAATATAATATTAATATAACATTTGTTTATGTATCCAAATAAATTGTCGCTTTACTATACAATATTTATAAGTTAGCTATTTGTTTGACATATAAATTATTAACTTGTTTTATCGCTTAACATGATTGAAAATATGGACCTTGATCAACCCATACCCCCGGAATGGCGTGTAAGGGGTGCTGACAGTCATCTCCACTCAATTGGTTTATCACTATTTAAACCACAATTACATCCAAACAGACGTCTACTCTATCATCCATTACTCATATTTATTATAATTTTAATAATATTTTGTAAAAGTACATTATTAGTTTATTTTAATGTGAAATCTATTAAACTTTCAAATATGGCTTATATATTGCTTGCTGATATTGACTATTGTGTTGGCACTGGTCATTCAGTGAATATAATAATACTAATATTATCGTGTTTTACAATTGGATCTCAAATCATAAATTATTATAACTATAGAAATGGTATAAAACCGACGGATTTCAGAGTATTTCATATGATTTGTGGTTTCATTTCACCCAAAAGTATCGGAATTAATGATCAGATATTAGTGCATAGATTATGTAATATCACTAAAATATTAATGAAAGTATCTAATATATTAATATCAATTATGGTGATATTATCTATATTTTTTATGGGAACAATGTTTATGATGTGGAATGTTACAAACTATTTTATAATCATATTAATACCAAATTTTATATTATATATTGTATGGGGACTAAATGCTGCTAATATCCAAGTTTATCAAACTATTTATTACTTTATAATTACAAATTATCTAAAATTTAAAGTAAAATTACTTAACATGATAATAATGGATCACATTACTAAATCTACAAATTTTAATTATTATTACAACTACTGGTTTATATCTAAAAATATACGAGAATTGAATGCAATTTATGTGGAAATCAATGAATATAACAGTCATTATTGGTCTAAATATTTAGCCCTCATTTGGTTTACACAAGGATCTACAATATGCTATTTATTATATGCATCATTGTTTACAGATAACAATGTTTTGATTAGATTAATTACATTTTTATTTTTAATTATTTATTTAATGTTATTATTACTATTAATTCAAATCTCATCGCAAATATATAACGAAACAAATAATACATACTGTATATTGCATTGAATTCATACATAACTCATACGAAACTAATACCAATTAAAAGCAAACTTAAGGTATGAATCTCTCTCTCACTCTCTCTCTCTCTCTCTCTCTCTCTCTCTCTCTTTCACACAATATTCATTCATATAGTTATCAAATACAATGGAAAGGATTGGCAAACAAAGGATTGGATTTTATTGTTGGAAACTATTCATTATAAACAGATTCCGTGGATATGAGGTATTTGCGATACATTTATATTACAGTAAATATAAAACAATTTCTCAAATCATTTCAGATCATATCACTCATCTGTTTACTATTTCTCCGATTGTGTTCATAATTTTATATCTGAAATAATCTCACTTTTTGTGTATTATTTTTAAAAATATGTAAATAAAAGAAATTACTATCATTCAGAATATTATATATTTGTCAATGGTCATTTTACCTATTGTTTTGTCAAGAATTATAATTTGTTTTATTTAATATATTCTAGGACACAACTTAATGGGATACATCGTGATGTGTCACTCTGTGGCGTGATTATAATTGTTGAGAAATCAGATTACACCATATTATCTACAATTTGAATTAATTAAATTAGGCCAACTCCATAAACTGGTCTAGTTAATCCGGTTTTAAATATAGGTGGCATAGTCATTTTTGTATATAATATGCCATAATATCTTTAAATTATAATTCAAAACACTCTCCACTGCTGAAAATCATAAGGTTTTAAGCAGTGTGCCAACAATTAGTTATAGATACATAAATATAAATTCATAAAAATTACATTATAATTAAATTTCGCAATAATTTGTTTAATTGTTTAATAATGTATTGAATGACAACTTGCGTGACGACTGGAACTGTCACTGAATGCTCGCATCGATTGAATCAATGCTTTGTATTCATAGCGCTCTAAGAAATGAACGATTTTTTAGTTACGAAAAACAGACATACTTGCAGTTAAAGTAAAATTATGACCAGGGTAGGAATTTTATTTATATTTTGTAAATCATGCGTAAATTATTAATTATTTTCCAACATTTTGGTGTAGCTGTGTTAGAATAATATGATTATAAATATTTTTGTTTTTATTTTATATAATCCTAATACGATTAGACAGACTTTAGTAAACGATAATTGTTATTACAGTAATGAGCATCTTTAATTTTGAATAACAATTTTTAAAAATATAAAATGTAAATGACAATATTTGTATAACTTGTATATTAAGTTCGAAGTAAGTTCATATAATTTGAAAATATTAAATAAATTGTTTAATAAATTTGAATATAATAATAATATAACATTTTTTAATGTATCCAAATATAAGCTAATATGGGCATCATTAGTTTTGAATAACAGTTTTACTAATATAAATGTCAATATGTTTATTCTGGTATATTAAGTTTGAAGTATTAACATAACTATAGAAATGGTATAAAACCGACGGATTTGAGAGTATTTCATATGATTTGTGGTTTCATTTCACCCAAAAGTATCGGGATTTATGACAAGATATTGGTTTATAGATTATGTAATATCTCTAAAATATTGATAAAAGTATCTAGTTTATTAATATCAATTATGTTGATAGAAACTATATTTTTAATGGCAACGGCATTTATAATCTGGAATATTACAAATTATTTTATAATTATATTAATACCAAATTTTATATTTTATACTGTATGGGCACTAAATGTTTCTAATATCCAAGTTTATCAATTTGTTTATTACTTTATAATTACAAATTATCTAAAATTTAAAGTAAAATTACTTATCATGATAATAATGGATCACATTACTAAATCTACAAATTTTAATTATTATTACAACAATTGGTTTATATCTAAAACAATACGACAATTGAATGCTATTTATTATATTTATCATTGTTTACAGATAAAAGTGTTATGATTAAATTACTTGCATATTTAATTTTAATTATTTATTCAATATTTTTGCTACTAATTATCCAAATCTCTTCTCAATTATATAATGAGACGAATAATACATATATTGTATTGAATTCATACATAACTCATACCAAACTAATACCCATTAAAAGCAAACTTAAGGTATGTATAGCTCTCTCTCCCCCTCTCACCATACCTCTGAGTGATGTGTAGACACTAAACAATGGGAATCAATCTCTCCCTCCCTTCCCCCCCCCCCTCTCTCTCTCTCAATGTTTTTATTCATTCATATAGTTATCAAATACAATGGAAAGGATTGGCAAACATAGGGTTGAATTTTATTGTTGGGAACTATTTATTATAAACAGATTCCGTGGATATGAGGTATTTGTGAAACATTTATACTGTATTATAGTAAATATAAAACATTTTCTCAAATCATTTCAGATTATATCACTCATCTATTTCTCTGATTGTGTAAATAATCTTATATCTGAAATAATCTCATAATTTGTATATTATTTTTAAAATTTGTCAAAGATCATTTTAAATATTTATTGTCAAGAACTATAAATTGTTTTATTTAATATATTCTAGTATACTTTAAATACAATAACTATTTTTATGATAAATCAATATTTTTACTGGCTAATAATAATATTATAAATTAAATACTTTATAAAT